CTACATCTTTTATACAGTGGCAGACAGCACAGTACCATATAGTATGTTTATATTTTTCATGTATATACAGTTTACAACTTACAACAGTGTTGGAGTAACACGCTACAAAGCAACTCATTGTAGTAATGTAATTACTTGCTGTAATAAAGTAATAACACATTACAGTTTATTCTCTTGTAAACACATTACAGTTACTGACTTAATAACAATTTCATCTATTAATGTAACCTCTTAATTTATCAGACTTATTACATACTAAGGCTTTTTATTTAAAGGCTAATCATTTAAGGGCTTAATATCAATTATGTGCAATGCAAATTTTATCTTTGTATATTCTTTTACATATTTTGCAAGCTTGTGCTACAGCGGACAGTGATTGCAGATGTCACCAGCAGAGAGCGAACTCAAGCAATATTCTCTTTACTTTGAAATCATTGCATGTTAGGCCTAAGCCTGAAACCACCGCTATAAAATTGATGAGCAATCTGCCCAAGCATCTAATCAGAATGCATGCTAATGCAACATTAGCTAACTGAAGATCCCAATGCCAAAGAAAGTTCCACCAAGTATCACCCAAACAAGCCAGACTCAATTCTTATTCAGGCAAGGATAGTGACCTTCCATTTTTGAAAAGATATTTAGTATGATTGGTGACTCCTTTCAAAATAAAGCACTGAAAGGACTATTGGATTTTCTCTTGTTATCTCCCAATGATATCTGTATGTTTTAGAGTGTAACTTAGAAGTAAGGTAATAAGTAAAGTAAACTCAGCTACAATTTGAGAGAAGTAAAAGTTTGAGAGTTTGTTTTGAGTGACTACCCCAACATTGATGGGAAGCATATATGTTTGGATGGTCTTGTTGTTTTTACAGTTAGACATTTTCATTGTAATAACTCAGGGATTGCTGGTATCTCTGCCACTAGAAGGCCTGTATGAAAGGGAAGAAACCAAAACCCAAAAACAACACTTCTACTAAAAGGGCAAATCTAATCAGATTAACCACTTACATGGCCAGGGCCTTATTTTTTTTTATTACACACTTCTATAACCTAAGAATAGTAAACCAGTTTGCATTGAAGGCCCTGTAGTTACTCAATCACAGGCCTTAGTATGTAATAAGCTTGGCATTTTAAGGGGTTAATCTTAACCCATTTCTCCCTATAATGCCAAGAAATCCTTGGAAGACTCAGTCTTATATCTGTATCACATGTTTTTATTTGGGAAGCACCAATGGCATTTGGTTCAGTCTAAAGGCATGTTTACACCTTGCATTAACATGTATTTTGGGTGATCGGATCACGTCCAGATTTCACTTAACCACATGAAAAGCTAGGTGCTAACTCCTCCAGGACACACTGTAATCAGATTATGATCTAATCACTCAAACCACATTCAGAGGTAGTCAGAGACAGATCTTGATCACATGTAACTCAAGTGTAAATGGAATGCATTTTCTATTTTCACAAATAATTATGTGAGTGGAAATGCTGGATGGAGGATACGCAAAGCCTAAATGGAGAAAGTCTAAATGGAACCCGGCCAATGTACATCCAGATATGATCCGGACATGAAACACGCGAAGTGAAAACAGGCTCTAACACTAGGCTTAATCCACAACAACAAAACTGACTTACAGTATTTACTAAAAAATAATAGTTAAGCTTAATAATTCTATAACAAATGTGAAGCACCTGGAGGGTTAAACAGTAGCAGCAGTGATCAGTACAAAAGCCGATATGTGGTTATACAGAGTCATAGTAAACGCATGACGGAATGGAGGTCTTTGCCCTTCCTCACAGTGAGCTGAGAGTGGTTTTGAAGCATTTCCACAATGGCCTTTGTGATCCAAAGCAACTCCATCCGGCCGCCATTATTCAGAGTGGGCTGCTCTCCAAACTGCTATGAATACATCTCCCTCTCAGCCAGCATCCAGCAGGCCTTCAGCCAGAGTCATCCCGGGGAAAATACACCAACGATATCAATAAAAACATAGCGACGGGAGATCAGAGCCGACAGTATCTGCAGGGGTATGGGCGTTTTTTTTTTCCCTCAGGGTGTGCTCTTGATGTGGCTGGAGGCAGCCCACTTGAGAAGGCCATGTGATGTTACTGAAGGGTCCAATAAGGTGGTGGAGAGGGGAGAGAGATCCATGCCACAACAGCAGAGCACAGGACAGAACGACAAGAGACGGCACTGACAGCCCTGAATCCAACAAAACTCAAACCGACTCCATCACCATCCCAAAACCAGTCTAGCAGTGTGCCAAAGTCAACTGAGCTCTGCCTCTAAGTACAGGATACCCACACTGTGAAGATGGGGAGAGAACAACGAAGGGAGGACAAAAACGGAGATGGGAAGGACAGCAAAAAGCAAAACTTTGGAAGACATAGAGAGAGAGAGTGAGAGAGCAAGAGACAGCGGTCAGAGAGGGAACAGAAGCATTCAGCACATGAAAGTGTCAGCGGCTGTGGACGAATCTGGAAAAATGACTGCTGGAAAAAAAAACGCTGAACTCCGCAGAGGGGGCCTGCCAAAAGCGAGGGAAGCCGCGGTGGGCGGAGAGGTGAAGAGGAGAGTGGGATTGAAGGGAGGCCGAGGATGAGCGTGCGGCTTTCGCAGGCGTTCACTTCGGGGGGAGAGAAAGAGCTGTGTGGTTTTGGGGGTTAAACAGCAGAACATGCTCACACATTAAGCTCCATCTGATCCCTGCCTAACGAGAGAAAAAGCAGTATCTGTGCAAACCACCCCGAGCCCTTTCATCCATAGCCAGCGGCACAGTGCTCCTGCTATGTGCCAAACGATTGGAGATCGAGCTCATCTTCCTTTCCACAATCTTCTCCCTTCCCTTCCTTTCTTCTCTTCTCTGTTTGTCTGCACACAGAAGAGGTCTGGCGAAGACCCAGGCCACACTTACAGAAGCCTGCAAGATTCTATTATTCCATTATTCTGTATTCTGTATTCATTATGATGTACCTTCTTGATGAATTAGCACTAATTAGTTCATTATATATACATATATATACACACATATATATATATATATTGCCCTGCGATGGACTGGCGAAAATTGGGTTGCTGTTTCAATTTTTTGCACAGTTACGGCACATTTTATATTTCATTTTTTCATTTTCTTCCAATACGTTAAACACACAAAAAAGAGACACTGTGCACAAAAAACGGCAGAAAATGCCATATTTAAGTCTGCTGTCTGTAGAGGTTATGTTACAACTGGTAATGACAGCCCTACATTCTATTTTAATTTTTTTCTCCACTTCATCATTTCCTTCATTTTCTCCTCTTCCTGCGGCCACAGGGAGAGAAGTGCACCAACCAGCCAGTGACAGCAGAGATACACATATCAGACCTTTATGACCATCATCATTCACACTTTCACTGAGGCTTACTCACCACAGTAAAACTTCCTCCGGTACGATTAGCCCGGCCAGAAACACCAGACAGACAAAACGGGCCACTTTAACCATAAAATACCAACTCAAGACAATAAATTCTGAATCTCAGATAAAATAAGAGTAACACTCTTCACAGAACCCTAAGCAACTGTCAGAACTGATTGTAGTTAATTGGTACAAAAAATAATACCATCATGCCCATGACATAATGCAGGGATCTGATACTTTGTGAAAACTACTGCTGTGAAGGATTAAAATTACTGCCTGAAAATGAGACAAGGCGTATTTATGATAGCTAAAAGAATTATGTGCCTGCAAGTAAGTGGGTGTTTACAGAAGTGTGTGTGTGTGCATGTGTAAATTTGCACGTGTGAGATTCTTGTGTGTGTGTGAGTGTGTGTGTGCGCGTGTCTGTATGTGACATGTTGGGCGTAGGAAACGGAAAAGCACATGCGATGGCGGTCCATGTGGGTGGGCAAACATATGTGGCTGGCTGGATTAGGAAGTGGTAGGCCACATCTTTTTATTACAGAAACGTCTCTATAATATCTGGCTCTTGTGGGAGTGGAAGAGACTCACACCAGGCTGTCGCCTCCAGACTTGCTTACTCGCTCGTTTCTACCTCACTATGCCTGGAGTCTTTTATAATTAGCATCAAAACCAACCCCATATACTTTTTTACTCCTAAGATGTTTTAGATTTTTTCATTTCAACAGAAATGGACATGTTCCAGAATGAATAGCATGTTCTGCTCCACATGCCTAACCATGGGAACTTCTTTAATTATATATCTTTTTCTTTTGCATTTTTCAAATCTATGTCATCATTTAAAGCAGCGCATTCCTGTACTCTATACACCAGCTATATCTCACTTTAGAGTCCATTTAGCATTGTTCTCAGTGGGGAACACTAAAGCAAACTATTTTATGTTAGATATTTCTCACTCATAGCTCACTGAAACAAGCAAAAAAGTATGCTGAAAGTATGGATATTAAATACCAGCAGCTTATCAGAGCCACTCCAGAGTCAGGACCTCAACATCACTGAATGTGTTTGAGAGAAAATGCAACCAACTTCTAAGACTGAACTTTGTGGAAAACATTCCTGCAGATTTCTTTGAATAGAACAGAAGCTGCAAGGTTGTACACATTAAATACTAGCAAATTATAAATTATATTTAGTTTTTGTATTTGTATTTTTTGAAATATATGTTTTCTTATTTTCTGATGCTGAAAAAATTGTATTGTATTTAATGGCTGTTTTGACTGGAAATGAAATAAATGAGGGGTGGTGATTTTGCACAGTGCTGTATTAGATTTTTGTCATTTTTGACCTTAACCCAAACAGAAACTGTGTAATTTACTATTTAATTATATAAAAATATTTATTCAATATAAATAGGATACAGAAACACAGCACTAATAACTCTAGCATTTTAGAGTTTAAGCAGCACACTCCATACACTTTGCACACCAATTATGTCCCACTTCAAACTCAAATAAATTGTCCTATATTTGGCTTTTCTGTTTATCTATCAGGCCAGATTGTTATAGAATGGCCTATTACTACAGAAAGGCTGCTATGTTCACCTGACAGTGGTAGATGTACTCAGGCGTGGCCTTCTTGAATTTCATATTCCACACTAAGGCCACACCGTCTGGCTCATGAGGGGCGTCCTCGTTGTTGTTATAGGAGGCCACCAACAGCTCTGGGTACTGGAGAGAAAGAGAGAGAACAAGAAAAAGAGGGAGATGGAGAAACAAGATGAGCATGCAGGGAGAACAGGAGGAAGAAAATGGTAAAGGTGGGTAAAAAGTGCCATAACAGAAGAGCAGGGGTGTGTGTCAAGCGTGCAGAAGTGAGGGAGGATTCCTCCGTGAAATGAAGAAGTGTTGACATGTATGAGAGGTCAGAGGCAGAGGTGACTCTACCTGAGGGGACCAGTCCAGACAGGTGATGACCCGATGCTTAGACCAATGCTCATCATAGAACAGACGACTGAAGGACAGACTCGACCCCCCCTGCAGGTCTCTGAGACAGATAGAGAGAAAAAAAGGGGGAGGGGTATAAAATAAATTATAGTAAAAGGTTTAAAAGGTTTGCCATCTTAATAAGCAACTGAATTGATAATGATAATCTACACCACTCTGCTATGAAAAGTAACAAAAAAGTTCAGACTGTACACCAGGATACCGCATAAAAACCTAGAATTAGAAGTGCTCTTAATGTTCATTGTGAAATGTGGTATGCTGTCTACAGGCACATTTTCAGAGAGTATGTTTGGAATAATCATCCTGAATAAGAGGCTGTGAATGAATGAGACGGTATGAGAGCATTTCTTTGAAGAACAAAGGAGCACCATGTTAGGCTCCAAACTCATGAGTCACACACACACATACACACTTGTTTTGAAACAATGTGAGGACACAGAGACATACATGTGTCCCATATGTACAACCCCATTTCCAAAAAAGTTGGGACACTGTGAAAAATGTAAATAAACACAAAATGCAATGATGTGCAAATAATTTAAACCCTATATTTCATTGAAAAATTCTTCAAAGACAACATATCAAATGTTGAAACTGAGAAATTTTATTATTTTTGAAAAATATATGCCCATTTTGAATTTGATGCCAGCAACACGTTCCAAAAAAATTGGGCCGGGGGCAACAAAAGGCTGGTAAAGTTGCGTAATGCTTGAAAAAACACCTGGTGGTTAATTGGCAACAGATCAATAACATGACTGGGTATAAAATGAGCATCTCAGAGAGGCTGAGTCCTTCAGAAGTAAAGATGGGGAGGGGTTCACCACTCTGTGAAAGACTGCACCATCAAATAGTGCAACAATTCAAGAATAACGTTTCTCAAAGTAAAATAGCAAAGAATTTTTGCTTTTCATCATCTATGGTACATAATATCATATAAAGATTCAGAGAATCTGGAGAAATCTCTGTATGCAAGGGACAAGGCCAAAAAACAGTATTTGCTGGCTGTGATCTTTGGGCATTTAGACAGCACTGCATCAAAAACAGACATGATTGTCTAGTGGAAATCACTGCATGGGCTCAGAAAAACTTCTGAAAAACACTGTCTATGAAAAAACAGTTCAGTGCTGCTTCCACAAATGCTAATTAAAACTCTTAAATGCAAAGAAGAAACTATATATAACAGGACCCAGAAACACCGCTGCCTTCTCTGGGCCTGAGCTCATTTAAAATGACTGGAAGTGGAAAAGTGTCCTGTGGGCCAACGAATCAACATTTGAATTTTTTTTTGGAAATCATGGACACTCTGGGCTAAAGACCACTCAACTGGTTATCAGTTCAAAAGCCAGTATTTATGATGGTATAGAGGTGCATTAGTGCACATGGCATGGGTGATTGGCACATCTGTGAAGGCATCATTAATACTGAACGATATATACATGTATTGGCAACATATGCTGCCATCCAGATGACGTCTTTTTCAGGGAAGGCCTTGATTATTTCAGCAAGACAATGTAAAACTACAACAGCATTGCTCCATATTAAAAGAGTCTGGGCGCTAAACTGACCTTTTGGCAGGCCAGCCCGACTTTTTTTGGAAATTTGGTTGTATTATATTCATGGAGTTATACATGTATATATATATATATATATGCGTGTGTGTATAGTGTGTGTGTGTATATATATATATATGTGTGTGTGTGTGTGTGTTAATTAAGATACTAATAAGCTAAATATACACAAAATCATGTGCTTTCTCCTGGGAGGTGGCTGTCCCAAACCCTAACTCCTAAATTTCAATTTGTGAAAAATAGTACTTAAACTGATTTTGTATTTTTGTCCATGTTTTTTAAGGATCCTTTTTGATTTCTTTAAAGTTGAGTATTTTAGCCACACCCCTGCATTTTAGAGTGCATCCCTGTCCCTCATGGCCACATGGTGAGCAGTTTCATCCCACTGCTATGAAGTAAATGTTACCCAATTCAAAATCATTTATTTTATTGAAAGAATCATAATTAAGGTATTTGGTCATTTAAAGCAAATTATTTTAGTCTAATGTCTCTTAAAAGTCAATTAAAAGTCCAAAATGTGTCAAAAGATCAAAAAAGTTGGACAATCCCAATTGAATATGCAGTCTTCATAATGATAAAGACATTTAGATCTAAAGCAGGAGTGTCAGATCATACAGGCCCATGGGCTGAGATTGGCCCGATGATGGTTCTCCATTGATCGTAATTAACCACTTTCAAAGAGATGACTGGCACGATCCTCAACCAATCACTGCTTAGCAACTAACTTAGTCTCTAAGTGCTACTTCTTCCAACAAGGGAATTAAAACTCCTCAGAACAAACCTGGAATGAATGGTTCTGGCAGTAAATCAGTCAGAATTATCAGGCTGAGAGATGTGAAAAGGGGATACTGGGAAACATAGTGAAACATGTAATTCAGACACACACCATCCTGATCATCTGGAGGGTGGTGCTGTTTTTATCTCATCCCTGAAACAGTAAATATTTTTGATTAAACTCTGTGGAGGACCATACTTACAGCTCAGTGTCAAAACTATGAACAAGCAGCTGTAAGGTGAAACCAAACTGAATCTAAGTTACTGTATTTGCTGACATCCAATTCAATATGATGTCTGAAAATAAATAAATAACACAAAAATAGTAAGATCAGTTAGCTAGCTGTGTTAGCTTGTTTTAGCTTAGCTGCTGATATTGCAGACAGTTTAATAAATTAGTCAGATTAATGACTGCAGATTAATTGCTATCAAAACATTCTTTTTGAAGACAAATATTAATGCACTCATATGCATGCAACCCTCTGCATTCTTTGAGGTCTGCTGAAAGACCTTATGTAAACGATGACACATCCTCAGCATCAAACACTGCAGTGAAGAACTTTAGTCTGTCTAATCTGTTTTATAGGTGATATTTGTTCAGTAAGTTTGTGCCTTTAGAATGGACCTTTCAGATACATTTATGAGGAGCTGATGTGTTATTGGCCTAATAAACTATTTTTTTGTTTTTTATTTTAGTCTGGCTTGACATCGGACTGAGTGTGAGGTGGCCTGATACCAAAAATGAGCTTGACACCCCTGATCTAAATTCTTATGCTTAAATGCAAATTAAATTAGTTTGTAAGGCAAATACAAATAGTTGAACAACACAAAACAGAAACAAACGTTTTTAATTTAAACTAAAAAAGTTACAAATGCATTACTAACACATTAACAAATTCATTTTTAATGCTGTTAACACATTTTCCTAGTTTAATCCTTCAGATCATCCATAGTAGTGCAGGCTGAAGCCCAGCTGATCATTCACTGCAACTTACTCTACTCTGACTGTGATTTAGCTCTCTCATTGAAATACAGCTTTTAATGGTAAGTTCCATTAAAGGCTCTATTGAGAAAAAAAGTTACTTCCAGCTTCTGCCAATGTGATGAAAATTGGAAACTGCATTCATGTTCGCCCTGTGTTCACGTGTTTCTTGTTTCAGTAATGTTCTCAAATTATCACAATTCTGATGAAGTTTACTTAATCCACTCATATAGTTCTGACAAAAGGAATAAATAGCATGATTAATTGTGGTTGACTTCACAAAATAATACATTTAATTGTGTTTAATTATTAAACCGCTTTGCAGCCCCAATACAAACGGGTTAAAACAACAAGCACATGTTTATCTTCTTTAGTCCTGTTGGAAAAGCATCTCAGGCTTGAGAGAATGCCAAAACTGTATTTATGAAAAGGAGGGCTACTTTTTTAAGAATGTAAAATAATTATAATTAATGATTATGATTAGAGTTTTAGGTCTCGTGTTATTTTAGAGTTTCGATGTATTCAGTAGTACATTCTAAAACATGAAAAATTAGAAAAACCCCTTTTGTGAGCAGGTTTGTCCAAACATTTGAGTGGTAGTGTGTACAGGTAGCTTTGAGTAAAAAGAGTTTTCTAAGCCAAACTTAAACCTAACACTGAACCAAAAAAAGTGTTTACCCTTTAGTTTTAACAGATGAAACGTTGCTTTGGAAAAAACAAGTTGTTTTTTGTAAGCACTGTTTTTGTCCTGAAACTGTATAAAAACAAACACATACACATACTCACACAAACACACATACACAGAGCAGCTTGCAAACACACACATGCACACACACCCTCACCCCTCTTTATCCTCGAGGTCTCGGCCGCTGTAGTCAAAGAAGATGTTGGAGTCTTCAGCGAGCGCTCGCTCCATCACACGAATACTGCGGTCAAAAAAGATCAAAAACTCCTCAGAGTGCAGGACCTGCTGCTTCTCCTCCTCCGTCAGCTCCCTCGGGTGGCCTAACATACACAAATATACACAGGCAGGAATATACGGAGCCACAGTGTAAATAAACACAGAGGAGACAGCACACTCGCACTCACACATATGAATGGGGTGCAGATTTGGGGATATGGTGTTTGTAGCTACCTACTGTCATGGAGTAACACAAAATAAACTGATTCAACCACAGAAATCATAGCAATAGACAACTGGAAAGAACAGACACTACACAAAATCAGATTACCCAGAGAGACATGAGCTAAAATCCAAACAAGTCACTCCTGAGCCTTTTCCTGCATCAGCAGTGACTCTTCAGCATCACGAGCGCAATTATGTCAATTACAGAGATGAGATGCTAACGAAAAAAAGACTACAAAGAAAGTAAACAAACACCCACAAATAAGTGAATAAACAAATAAATATATCAGCAAACACATAAAGCCCCTTGTCCTTTTCTCCATATAATGACTGCATGGTCACATTTTTTTGATGTTACTGGGCTCCTCCATTTTCTCCCAGACTATTAGGGGCCCTTCACTTTGATCTTGGACCACTTGATTCACATAGACCTTTTTTTTGACGACTCATAAGGAAGACAAAGGCCTGATCAAAGTCCCGGCGGAGTCAAAGCGGCCGTGTGCTTTCGCGGCCCAACCCCGACAAGGCCTCTCCCTAACCCGCTACACTTATTTACTCCATACGCACGCACAAAGAATGCACTCTCCGCATCCTTTGAAGTCCACTCGCCGGGGTCAAGTGACATTAATTTTGGATCGGGCCTGACCCACAATGCCGTGGAGCTGATAAGCGGGACCCCCGGCCCAGAGAGATTGGTATCTGATATGGCGGCGGGAGTCACACGCGAGTAGCCACGCAACGCTCCAACGAGCCTGTTGGGTGACTGAGAGATTCCTCGTTTGAGAGACGCTCAGACTGCTAAAGCTGACTGTTCAAAAGTTTGGAATCATCATTAAAGTCTGGAATCAATGTTTTCAATAATATAAGACTTTTGGTTGCAGGTAAAAGTATAAAGTGGTTCTAATGCTTCACATAATTACACAGCTAGATAGCTAGAAAAAAGGACAAAAAATCAGATTTTCAGGGGGGAATAAAAGAGATGTACATGATGCTGAAATGACTATAAAAGCTGTACAGAATCAAGAATGAAATTATAATAAACATTGATAGGCAGAACACCTCATATTTCAAAAATGGTGATCAAATCTAGAGCTTTATAACGTAACAAAAATACTATAAATCGACTATTATTTATCATTCAACATCTTGTTACTGTTTCCAAAATGTTTTGAATATTAAACAAAAATGTAAAAATACAATTTGGTGTGTAGTTTATAAAATATAAACCTACATTATATAAGTAAGCAACTGAATATCGATAACAACATTGCTTAAATTGATGTGTAATTCTAAACCTTTGAACAGTAATGCAGACAGTAAAGTAGACTGTAAACATAAAGCAACATAAGGTGCATAAGTTCATGAACTTGAGCAGTGTGATCTGAATTAACACTGTCATATCATGTAGTCATTACTCATGTGAGACATTTATATGTTTCAGTCTTAAACCAAATTTTAGTGCTCCAGTGACACACTGACACACCATTCAGTGATAAGTTCATCTCTGTGAAAACCAGTTAAGCACAGTTTAGCTTAGTTCCTTTTTTTATTTTAGTTGCATAACAAAACTACTGGTGACAATACATTATATTGACAGTGGCATACAGGACAGACCGCCAGGGACACAGTGCCAAATATCACCACTGTCAGGACAAAACTTTGCTGTTTTGTAACCTTTTGCATTATTTGTAAACTTGTCCAGTTGCCCAAAAAATTGTCCATTAACTAATTTGAATGTAAAGAAATCGAAATCAGACAGAAAAATTATGATCAGTGTTTTCATGTTTAATGAAATATAAAATACAATGTGTCCATTTAGTGTCATTTCATTTTTATCTTAGTAAAAATAGTGTTATAGTTCATCCCAGGGATATACAAATTCTCTGCCTCTAGTTTAACTTTTGCAGATTCCACACATTTATCGCTGCTGTCGGAATATCTCCATTTTTGACGGTTTTCAGTTTTTGACATAATTTGAAAATGCCTGTTGCCCTTTACATTGTGTGTAAATTTCATGATGAATGGACCAAAAGAAACAGCCCAAAATGACTTGGAAAAAAGTCTGGTTCCATTGACTTACATTAAAAGTAAAGTGTTTTTTTCCTCCTCCTGTACAGTTACCAATTTGGAGATACAAGGTTTTCTTCCGACAACAGCGATATACTGCAGTCAGAAATGGGTCTGCTGTGAGCTTAAACATGAAGGTAACAAAATACCAAGAATGGCTTGGGGTTGTACCTCCTTTGCTGCAATACTAGCTTTAAGTGTTTTGGAGTAAGTATGTACCAGCTTTGCGCACTGCTCTGAAGTGAGTTGGATTTTCACTCAGGTTTTTCAGGTTGGTTTGGTGATGCTTTTAGACTGCATTTTTTTTAATAGTGCCACAGATTCTGCATGGGATTGAGGTCAGGAGTTGACAGACCCACTGTAGGACTCTCAGTTTCTTATTTTTGAGGCAGCTTCTTTGGCCTTAGATAGCTTCAGTTTCTTGGCAGTCTAAAGCAGGCTCTCTTGCCTTATTTCTCCATATTTTCTTGCATTATTTCTCCAACCCAAATGCCTCGTCTTTGCTGATAAAAAGCATGCTCACAACATGATACTACCACCACCATACTTCATTGCAGGGATTCTTCTTCTTGGTTAAGAAGCATCCCTATAAGGTTCTATATGTGGTGCAAATCTACAACACGGACAGAGTTAGGTTTGCACCAAACTTAGAACCTTGAATTTATGCTGAAAAACTCTATCTCTGTCTCACCCGACCACAAACTATTTACCCACATCTTAGTTTGGTCACTCACACATGTTTATTGACTAATGCTTCTTTCTCACCATCTCCCTACACAGGACAGGTTGTGCAGAGTTCTTTCTATTGTGAAGCAGTGCACTTTTATTCCACTTTCAGTCTGAGTTCAGACCGCTGGTCTATCTGTGGCTTCCCTAACAGGTCTATCTAGTCTATCTAGTCCTGCTTGGATGCTGAGTTTTGAAGGGAGATCTTTTGTAGCATTTAGGTGTGATGTAACTTCCACTTTATTGGGCAGTTCTCAGCAGGGGACCCAAATGTTTATACTTTGTATGATTTGGCTAATTTATGCATTTTTTATTACCTTAAATTTTTCAGTCTTGATTCTTGCACCTTTACTTCAGTTCAGCCATACCAATTAAACAGAGTGTTTTTTTATATCTTGACAATGTGGCAGTTGCTTTAATGGTTCATAGTTATGAAGCAATTATGTCCAATTAAGAGGCAATTATGTCTTTCTTAAGGGTTTTGTTTTTCATGTGTGTAAGCTTAGAGCTTCTAGTTTTCAGCTTTCTTTGAAATAAAAAAATCACTTGAAAGATTTGCAGTTACATCATATAAAATAGTGCCTGGAAGAATATGTACACGCAGGCAATAATTTACAATCCAGAAATGTTAATAACTTTCAAGAGGGTGTTCATACGAGATGGTGTTTAAAGTAGGCACAAAATATGCTTTGTTCCGTAACACATTTAACAGAAAATGCGCTGTACAACGTCAGGTCTTGGCATTTTAAAGAGATGTCTTCACCACAAACTCTAAATTGGACAGATGCTGTTCAGTATAAGATCTAACACGCAGGAGTCAAATGGACTAAATTTATACCAGGTGGATGCTGCTGCTAGTTCAGAGTAGCGCATTCCTTTTTACCTTCCTTTGTGTCCTTGCCTTCCTCATCCTCTTTCTGGTCATCCTCCAGGCCTGCTTTGGGCTCTGTATTATCTTCATCCTCCTCTTCTTCTTCTGTGAGGACACAAAGAAAGGTCATGTTCACTGACATTGCCAAATCTGCACCTCCACACCCCCCAAAGTGACCCAGCCTAAGCTCCAGCCCTGCCTGCACTCATGCTAATGGCTTACAGATCAGCTGTGCCTGACCCACAGACAGGCCAGGCTCATCACTAATCTATCTGCATGAAGATCACGGACTTCCATTATAGTTGCAGGCTGGACTTGTTTTGAAAAAACATGGCTTCTTGTTTTCTCGCCAGGGTTGGACGAGGATTTGCACAGCTGCGTTTTCACAAGCGTGAGCCAAAGACAAACAACACAGTGCTTTAAAAATCTCCCAGGTTCTGACGAACATGTGTGCTCCACGTGTGTGCGTGCGCATGCTTGCATGCATGTACGTGAGTAAATCAAGATGTCCGCTGGGAGGAGAATACTACAGATACAGATACCCTACAGGAAGCGGGGCTGTTGAGTGGCATGCCTCTCTCTCTGCTCTCTCCTGACCCCCCCCTCAGCTGCGCCAGACCCCCAGGCCTTGAGGACTCACCCCTCAATTAACCCAATCACCCCAGTCAAAGAACTAGTCTGGTGCTCCTCTCCCACAGGCACCTGCCTCTGGCCTCCACGCTGGGCATGTGTTCCTAACCCGCCCCGCCTCCCCCCATGACCCGTGCCCACAGATGGCAAAGGGCCTCCGAGATGCTTAACACCCATCAGACACCTGCAGATGAGAACACACGAGCAGCCGCACGCTAACACACACACAGGGCTCTGTGGGATTGTTTTCTTGTTGACCTCAGCGTGCCAGAGGTTAACAGGCAGGGGTCAGGCTGACAGTGGCCGCCCAGTTCAGAGGAGGAAGTGATCCCATCGCACCAGACGCGCCGAAACTTACACACTCAACACCAGTGTGTTTGTGTTCACACCAGCTGAGAAGGAGCGCGGTGCCCCAGGGCTTGCTCAACAGTGATTTCAGCACTACAAGAATGTATCACCAGTTATTGTCCATTATTATAATAGATCTAGTGTATTTTGGGAATTTATGGCTTTATCTCATGTAATAATATTTTAATATGCACATCATTTTTTTACACATTTTTGCCTTGAAACTAAAATAATTACTAGGGGTGTAATGATACACTACACGCGCAGGATTCAGTTCAGTTCATGATACTGCATTCAAGATTCTGCATTCTTATGATATTTTGAGCAAAATTCGAATAAAAAATGTTTTCGACTATAATGTTGCACAACTTACTAATGACTCTAGAACTGGAGGCAGGAGGAGTGGTCGAGTGAGGCATTGATTGTTTGCAAATTTTGGTGTTCAAAGAATGCAGTTGCATTAGATGGCATAATTAAAATGTCCATTCTCCATGATGCACACACAGTTTTGCATTGCACCCCTAATAATCACTGCTTTCATCAACAGCTGAGAAATAAACAGCTTGTCTGAGTTTGAGGACACCTTTTCCTCTTTTAAAATGTGAAAGATTTTGACATTTGAACATCATTACTTAAAAAACAAGGCTTTGATTAGCAGCTCTTCCATAATACCTTGGGCATATTTGACAACACCCAGCTTCAAATACATAAAAGTCTCTTCATTGTTAGGAATGATTTTTTGTCCTATTTGTCTACCTTTCCAGCTATTGTTAAAACACACATGGATCAATTCACTTCAGATTTCCAGATTTTAGAACAAAGTTCTCAACAGCCCAGATTTCAGTTTTGCTACATACTTTCAGGAAATAATGACATCATGAGCAATAGACTTGGGCAAAATTTCACTTCTCATTAGTATGTTCATCAGTTTATCAGACACAGAGATGTAGAGACTTTAGGTTCTGGGATTATTCTTTGGTTTTGTGTTTCCCAAAGAAAACATACAAACATATATGTTTTTTTTTTATTTTATGGTTTGCTGAAACTCTAGATTTATTCGTTCATTTGTTTGTTTGTTTGTGGTGCACTGTGGCAAACATTGCCTGACATATCTCCACACTGAAGCACATCAGAGATTTTAAACTTTGATATATATATATATATATATATATATATATATATTACTCATATTACACCAAATTTAAAAACTAGAGCATATGGTAAAACAGGTTGCTGATGTAGGAGCCATTACAAACAATATCACATTACATCTACATTTCAAATACACATTGCTCACATCAGACCTGGGCTGCCACAAAATAATTTACAGTACCTAAATGAGCACATTTTATTCAGCAGATGCTAATATACTAAATATAAAGATGATATGTTGACATGGAATAAAATACAGACACACTACATATCACAAAACTGTATTAGATGACTAATACATGTTTATACATATACATGCAGTTTATACTGCTCACCAATATGCATTTAAAAAGCATGTAGAACTGTTCATTTTTAACAGCTTGTAAATCAGAAACTTTTATTACTTGAAGACTTATACCTGTTGACAAAGACGTACTGTGATATGAGTGTTAAATACAAAAGTTCAAAAGATCTGAAGTGCCCCAGGATGGAGATAATGAAGGCTAAAAAAATAAAATAAATAATAAAAATAAAAAATAACAAAGGATCTGGAGTCACAGCAAGCTGTAAAATGGCAAACATGCATCTCTGTGTCTTTTGTTTTATTAACACCTAAAGGTTGAGGTGCTAACGAGTGCAGTCAAAAACAAGGAAACAAATTACAAATCACATGGTGTATGCCGTCCTTCCCATGATAATCACAAATATTGTCCCAGATATTTTTTTACATTATATTATTTTCCTCAAAATATACCGGGTTAGTCTTTAATATATTAAGTTATCTGAAACCACAGAGAAATATTTGAAAAGCTAGATGTCTCCAAAGCTACAACTCCATTGGGCTTAGTTTAAGTCTTGACTGTGGGGTTTAAATGCCAGTATCAGTGCTAAGGCTTCTTCTCAAGAGGCTGCGGGTGAATGTGGATCAGTGACGTGAGCGAGGTCCGGGCCAGAACGAGTGCGGTTTAGCTGCTGAATGTGACTGTGCCTGTAAGCCAGAGACCAGCGGGGAACCAAGGAGTTCTCAGGCCCAGACAGGCAGCCAGCCAGCCAGCCCAGACCACACCACACCATACCGCCACCCCACCACTCTCTCTCACTCTGTCTCTGTCTCTCTCTCTCCTTCTCCATCTGTTTTTCTCCTGTACTCTGCTGGGCTCTGAGGTGATGCTCTTCGCATAAGCACCGCGACTCACTCTCTCCATTCTGGGTCTGTGTGGCTGTCGCTCCAGGGCCTGACAGAAATAACCCAGAAATTACAAAAGGCAGGGTACGGGGCATCTCTGAGGGGCAGAGAGTTGCATTCTGCAGGGCTGGTGTCAACGGTGGAAGACAGAAGTCTGGAGTCTGGAGCCAGCACTGAGAAAAGTACATTGAATTTACTTGATTCAAATGTCTACATCATTTCCATATGAACAAAAGATATAACCTCAACACTTACTTTTTGCAATAATTGTGTTGAGGTAATACATTACACTCATGGAAGTGATATACACATTTGAATCAAGTAAATTCAACACATCACTTTTTTTCAGCGAGGCGGGACTTGACCTGATTTGACCAGGTTTGGGAAAGGATGATGTGCTCCAGGAGGGACGAGGGAAAGCCGAGAGGCTGCACAGCGTGAGGTGGTCAGCCTGACCACAGAGACTGGGACAAAGCGAGACAGCCTTGATTCACGATCGTGGTTGAGAGACCATAGGCTAGCAAACAAGGCGAGAGAAGCATGTCAAGAGCCTGCGGGTCCCTGCGGCTTCCTGTCCAACCTTACAGCCACGCATATTTTCATGAACCCAAATCAGCCTCTGCAAAACATCAACACTGTATGTTTGCTTGACATTCACAGGGGTCAACCGCACACGCTCCATTCGACGGGAAATATCTGAGACGAGCTGTAAATTAAATAAAATCGTAATACCATAAGAGTTCGATTTAAAAGGAGTTGATCTCTCTGTGCTATTTAAGATGATGTTGAACTAGCGACCCAATAGGGTGTCTGGGTATTAGCGAGAGCCCTAGGAGATGGAAAAGGGGGGGAGAAATGAGAAGGGGCAGCTTTAACGCAGTCCCTGTACTCTATCCAGTGGCCATTTAATCCCAGTCACGAGATACTTTCCCTTCCACCTGCCGCGTAATACCAGCCAGCTCTGTGGGGCAGCGTATTAAGCTCTATCCTCCCTGCCTGCCAGTTTGATGAAACTCTGGGCCTACAAGGCACTGTAATGACATCTTCTGCTTCTCGCAGCCATTCAATCTTCCCTCAGCTTCCTCACGCTGCTCCAGTCAATTCGAATCCTCCCCGCGTCACGCTGCTCGACACGGCATCTACACTCGCCCCTTTGCCGGATGGAGATCTAAAGCGCTGTAGCTAAGCTCGCAGCATACGTTTCATGCGTCCAGACAAGACAGTAAGACTCCTGACATATAAGAATTAAGTCAAGAGCCCAGACCTCAACATCACTGAATGTGCTTGGAATGACTTGGATTGCAGGAAGCATAGAACATAACCAACTTTTTGAAGATATTGAAATTTATCCCTGCAGATTTTTTACTTAATGGCTGTTTAGCTGGAAATTAAATTAAAATGGTCTAAATTAAAGTGGTCTCTGACCTTTGCACAGTATGAGTCACTACCACACAGACTCTATATATGGAGTAATTAAACAAGACAGTACAGTATAATACACTGAATTACAATACAAAATAAAAACACAAATAGGCTCAAAGCCTAGTAATAAATACAATACAATAAATACACAGGCCAGTATGAGTTTTTTATTATTTAGGTATTGATCTTAAAGCTTATTATTGAGTAACTCCCCTGAATTACTAGGAGGAAATCCTTAGCATTTAATGGATTAACTGCACATATCATATATATGCTGTGGCAGCAGCATAGCCTGGTGCAAGTTGTTCTAGATAAGTAACAAGACAGATATCAGTGTGTAAGCGTGTGTTGTTTTCACTGTCGGTGA